CAGAATCAGTCTTCAAGGTGGACATTCTGGGTCACACTGGTGATGGCCTGGAAGGAGCACTTCCTGTCGGCAGAGCCTGGTCCTGGATGCTGTAGGGCAGAGCTGGGAGAAGTAGCATCGGCCTGGCAGGACCTCCCTGTCTGGGGGAATGGGACAGACACAAACCCATTCCCAGGAAGTATATTCTGAAAGGGCTACTAGCACTCTAGAAGCTACTAGAAGCTTCCACTGGACAAGACTCAGCAAAGGAAAAAACGAGAAGCACTTGTTCCTACAGAAAAGAGGTGGAGGGGAGTCCTGTGCTGTGGTTACCAGGACCACAGATGAGCTCATTCTGCAGGAGCACCCCACGCCCACCCCTCCGGGAGCCCAGCTTCTCTGCAGAGCTGTGGAAGCATCACAGAGCATCTGGCACAGGACGTGGCCCGGATGGCGTCTGTAATCCCGTATGTCTTGACTCTGTACCCAGGGTTGCCTCCCTTGGGAGGCCTCTAACTCCTTTCCAGATAGCCGAGTAGGGAACCACCCAAGGAAGCTCTTTCTCCTGAGGGTGTTGGTCGTGAAATTGCCTTCCCGGTCTCAGTCCATCCCCGCCCACACCACTGGGAGGAAGCCAGTCAGTCTCGTGGGCATCTTGCTGATCAATGTGAAGAATTAGTCATTTGTCACCGTGCTCTCAGAAGACTACGGAAGCCAGAGTTCACTGGATGCAAAATACTGTTTTGGTCGGGAAATTTTTCCTATGGCTATTGATTTTCTGTAATAAAGGACTTGCTCGGAAGAATTTCCATCTTCTATTTTCCATCATGTTGTGATAACTTTTAAGGAGCTCACATCAGAGTGAAATATATAGGACCTTAAGTCTGACCATAAAAGTGTGGTGTTCCGGGAACCATTTGTAGCCTTTCACGTAAAGGGAATGTGCCCCATTTATCCTGATCAAATGTCCCGACTTCTCGGGTGCTGGTACCCCATGGCTGACATGTAAAAGGCTGTTACATCTCAGAGATGGGAAGAGAGAAGTTGAACTCGGACCCCTGGCCACTCTCCTGTCTAGTCTAGGGCCTCTGTCAGCCCCTCCTCGAACGGGTGCTGGAGGAACAGCGGCCGGGGCAGAGTCTGGGGTTGACCTGGAGGGACACTACTGATGCAGGCCTCCCTCAGCAGGGCCTCGGGGTGTCCTGGAGAGAACCAGAACGGGACATCCACTTAGGAGTAGGACTATATCAAAGGCCACTGCGAGAGCAGCCAGTTTTCTCCGAAGGCGCATCTCTCCCAGAGGGAGCTCCAGGCGAATTTGGTTTGTAACCTGCAGGTGGCTGCTTACTATGGGTTCTTCTGAGTTCTAGGCTAATCACTGAGGCCATGTCCTGCAAATATTCAATCAACTCCCCGATAACCCACTTGCCTTTCCCCCTACTGAATGCATAGGACCCTGTCTTCATGATACTCATAATTCATCTGCATTCAGTTGATTTTTACAGATGAAACTTCTTATTTGAGATAACTATAGATCCACATGGAGTTGTGGGAAGCAGCACAGAGATCCCATGCGCCCTTCATTCAGTTTCCCCTGAGGGTAACACTTTAAGCTATGCTGTAGCACAATATCACAATCAGAATACATTTTTTAAAATTTTTATTTTATCATTTATCTGAAAGGCACACACACCACACACAGAGCCAGGCTGAAACCAGGAGCCCAGAATGCAAACTGGGTTGGGTCTCCCATGCAGGTGGCAGGGAGCTATTACCTCCTGCTTTCCTAGGGTGCACATTAGCAGAAAGATGGAATCAGGAGCAATTGAGCCCCAGGTACCTAGATATGGGATGTGCCTACCACCTGCCTCACAACCAGGATATCGACACTGGTGCAGTCCAGGTGGAGAACACTTCCATCACCACAAGGATGTCTCACGTTGTCTTCTTATGGCCACACCCACTCCCTTCTGGCCCTCACCCATTCCTGGCAACCACTAATTTATTCTCTTCCTATGATTTTGTCATTTCAAGAATGTTACATAAATGGAACCATAAATATGTAATCTTTGGGGATTGTTTTATCGACTCTCAAGATTAATCGAGAGTGTTGTATATTCTCAATTGTCTGTATCTTTTTATTGCTGAGTAGTGTCCTCTGGTTTAGATGGACTGGTTTGTTTAACCATTCATCTGTTGAAGGATACTTGGGTGGTTTCCAGTTTTTGGCTATTATATGAATAAAGCTGCTGTAAATTTCATGGACAGGTTATTGTGGGAACATAAGTTTTCATTTTTCTGGGATAAATGTCGAGGTATATAATTGTTGGGTCAGATGGTAGTTGCATATTTAGTGTTAATAAATCTTCAAACACTCCCGAGTGGCTGTCCAATTTTACATTCCTACTAGCAATATGTGAGTGATTTAGTTTATCTGCATCATCACCAGCATTTGGCATGGCCTCTAGTTTTTCATTTTAACTATTCTGATAGGTATGTACT